CACGCTCGACATCAACGATGCCACAATCATTATGTGGCTCTCACGCCTGTCGTCCACCTCCTCATGCCCATCGTGATCACCACAGGGGTCGCTCTATTGTTTCCACACCCGATGGCCCCCAAATGGCACCCATTGCAGTGTTAGTAAATTCTTTTTCTGCATAATTTTGAATCACTCAATATTAGGTCTCACCACTTACATGAATTCATGTTAAAAAGAGGGTATCTATATTCTAACCAATTCGTTCTTGTTAATAGGATTACTATATGGATTTGTTTCTCTAATAATTTATTTGTATTCATCCTAAGTGTAACGCTGTGTGTTTTTCGAAGTTAAATTAATTATATATGTTTTTATTCTAAAACTTAAAGGGGCTAATTTTATAGAGCGTTTTGATATTAAATTTAAATATTTTGATATTTACTTTAGTTAATTATATGAGGATCAAAATATAATATATTATTTTATATTATTACTATTATTATATTATTAGTTTAATTAATTGAGGGGAAGGAAGATATAACCAAAGTTAAGACTAAGTAATTGTGGATGAGTTTGAAGGAGGTAAAGTTAGGTTTTTAAAACTAAAAGGGGAGATGCATTTGTTTTTTTTTCACGTCTTTTTTCTTTTTACTCTTTAAAGACCCAATGAGAGGAGGAGCTACAAGAGATCACCCCAGAGACCCATTTTCTTTTTCCAACGTCGAACAAGATAGGGGGTAGTGAGAATTCTCGCTCTAGTACATGGGATAATTGTTGGGTAATGAGGTTGGCCCCAACCTCAATGTGTTGTATACGTTGTATGAAGGGGGAAATCCCAATTGTTATCTATTCTCATTTTTCATCTTTCTCGTGACTCTTCTACTCTTGAATTGTTATAAATTATGATTATTTATGGTTGATTTTGTGTATTTAATGGATTTGTTGTGATTTTAGTTGCCTTTGGGTTCCTATGGGAACCCTAAGGAGATGGATTTGAGTATTATTGTGCGAGCAGTTAATAAAAGTGTAATTATGTGTAACTATTGCCTTTTAAATGCATAATATGATTGTTTTGAAGTATTATATCATTTGTGTATGTAAATTGATGGATTGAAGAAGAGAATACGAAAATCGCAAGTTACAGAGTTATTGTTCATGAAAATGACATTGAGTGTCATTTTTGACGTTGAGCATCATAGTGGAAGATAGCCAAAGTTGTTGTTTGTAACTTACATGTTGAGCGTGAGTTTTAAGTTGAGTGTGGTTTAGGCTAAGCGTGAATTTCACGCTGGTGTGGCTCAAGCTAAGCGTAACTCAACCAGAGAGAAAGGGTTTCTCTTTAGAAGTCCAATGATGAGCATCACTACAGTTTTGATTTGTTTTTCCCTTATTTTGTGTTCCTTGAATTCCAATGATGTATTGTAAATCCTTATGCTACTCAATGTTAATGCTTGATGATGTGCGTATGTATATTAATAGCATGATTGATAACAATTGATAGAATGGATGATTCTTGTGTTAAATGTGGAATGTCATTAAGTGTGATGGATTGAGTATGAGTTGTGAAGTAATGAGTATTGAATGTTGTAAATGGAATGTATGGCAAATCATGTATATGGCCAATCACTGAGCATGTATAATGATTTATGAGTTTGTGTGACATGCATCATATGCACCCAAATCAAAAATTGACAAATTGGCAAAGTGTTATATATGCATTAAGCATATCTTGTGATTGACATCACATGCATGCAAATCGTAGTCCATGTTTATTGCAACTCATGTTGCATGTTATTGTATGTTGTTCTTGAGAATGTAAATATAATGAATCAAGAATGAACTACTTACATCATGACAGTGTGGAATCTATGCTTAATTGTAATGTCTTTCCTTTATAAATGTTATATTATGTGTGTGGTTATTTGTCTTTTATCTCATACTATGAGCTAGAGTGAAAAGTTTCTCACTCTCCTTGTTTCCATATCTTTATTGTTATGTTTGTTGTTGCAGGAGATGCTCATTAGGATATTGATGATGCTAGTGATGAGGCTTATGTTGGAGTTTGTTAATTATACATGGATTTTAGTATTCTTATATCTATTATCTTCCTAAATATAAGTTATACATGTACACCAAGTAAAAGGTGTCACATTTGGTGGTATCAAAGTCGGATTGATTCAAATCGGATGTGTGTGTTATGTTCTTTGTTGCGTGTTTCGTGTGTACTTTGATGTTTGATTGGTTATGTGTTGTGATATGTTTATTTGCATTGATTTGTTTGTTGGTAGCTTGTTTGGATACTTCTTGCTTATGTAAGAAGTAATGGTTGTTGGACGTAATACATATGTTTTGAGCAAAGGTGCTAGTGGCAATGAACGGTGCTTGAATGGTAATCAACTAGAAACTATTGGAAAATTGTTGTTTGTGTGATGTTGAACCCTTCAGTTGTACTCTTTGACTTTTGTGCAACTTATTATTTCTAGTTATCCATTCATTTGTCAAAATTCAATTGCTTTTCATCTCCTAATTTACCCTTTGATTCAACAACTCTAACTAATAATCTTGTTTTTATTCTTATTGCATGTGTTATAACATCATTTACAAGTTCTTGTTGAAATTCTAGTTGATTTGATACGTTTGTCTCTTAGTCAACTAAACATTATATTTGGAATCGACTAATTTCTTCCAACTATGTTCTTTTAAACTGTTTTGAAAAGTCTATATCCTTTGGTGAGAGTAAGAGTGTGGAATTTTTATCTGCTAATAAAATTAAAACTTATGTGAAAGAAAATGAAGAGGTTAAGAAACAAAATAACACAACTTCAGGAAAAACAATTTATTAGGCTTAATGGGTCACCCTAGGGAGTGTCTGTGTGTGCTCATGCGTACGTGTGTGTGTGTTAAGGCGTGATGGGACAGGATAGATAAGATAGGATAAATCTTATCACTCTCACTTTTAATAACTTTTTATTAATCCATTAGAAGTATTCAAAATATTGTTAATAAAATTATAAATGTAATAAATTTATATTTACAATTTAGTTATAAAATAATTAAATACATTTATCATTTCACATTTTAAAATTACAAAAAATTTAAATTTAAGATAAGTTAAATTCTTTTAAAAATTTCAAAATAAATTTGTCATGATGTAAAAAAAATCTTACAATTTTATAAATATTTTAAATAATAAAAAAAATACAAGACTATATCCAACTTGAATATAGTTCTATTCTTTCAATATTTTTGAAAAAAAAAACCAAACAATTAATTATGTTATATCAATATAAAAAAAATTATAAATAAATGTGTTATTAACATACGTCAAAATGAGAGTAACTTGTACAAATGCATAGATATTGTTCTAATATTTAGAAAAGAGAACAAGCCTTTCTTGATGAAAACTAGTAGAGAGATGATTGTTGTTTCTCTTTAACTAGCTTCAATGTATTTCTAATCTTCTTTGATGAACTCGAAACCTTCAAATAAAATCGAAAATGGTGTACGAGAAAGAGGTTGAGGTGAGCCACTTCAAAGTGAAGATAAGCAAGAGAGGAAGAACTTACCATAAGGAGGAATTCCTTAATAAAAGTTCACAAGGAGAATTTTTCCAATTGAGAGAACTAAGGCTTAGGAAAGAACAAATATGAATATTATTCTCAAATACATCAAAAGTGGACATCCTTGGTGAGGGAGGATGAGTATTTAGGATTTGATAACTGTTGCAAGTTAAGTTAACCTAAGTTGAATTTAATATAAGTTATGTTAACTTGGACTCAAGACTACTAACCTATGTTACAATTTGAAATCGAAAATTCTCTCCTAAAAGTGTCACAATTCTAGATCTAAAAGAGTCAACAGAAACTTACTACATTATAAGATAAGAAAAGTGTGACTCGTGTTAACATCCTATACCTAATAAAGCTAGTAAGAAGTTGTCACATGACAAGATGTTAAAAGTGTGACTTAACAAAGACATGTAACATGTTGGAGACTTGAACTAGTCATAAAAATACCTTATCCACTAGGAGTGCACGCCCAACACCATGGATATCACATCCATGTGCTTCCATGGACCAATTTAAGTCCAACATACGCATATCTTCTTTTCTAATTACCCTCCTTCTCCCCCTCCCTCACTTTCCTAAAATACTATATATACCCCTAAAATAAAAATAAAAAGTAAAAGAAAATAAATTCTGACTTTAATTGATTAAAAAATATAATATCAAAATTAAGAAAATATTTACAAGAAATTTTTTTATAAATATAAGAAAATAAACTGCTAAAAATAATCTAAAATTAATAAGAATTTGGACCTTTTTCCTTTTAAGTATAATTCATTTTGCTTAACTCCTTTAGAACTTCACTCATTGACATGATTTCATCTTCCCTTCCGATGAAGTCTCCTTTTTCATTCCAGAGTGTTTTGGTTTCAATGGGCCACAAGATTGTTACAAAGTGAGGCTTTAAAACATTTCACAATTCTCATACGAACATAGTTTCCGGATACAGTTTGATAACACGTGTTTTTATTTTATATTCAGCTTATTTAAAAATAGAATTGAACATATTACTAAAAATAATATATTTTAAGTTGACTTTAAAAAAAATAATAAATAAAGTGTCATTTTGTTTTGTCTAAATTGCCATAAATTACCTTACCATTCAGGCACAAATATTAATGCAAATGTCAAAAAGATTTTTCGAGACCTTTTTTGGTACAAAATCTGGCTTGACCCACACTTAGTAACTGCTTAGAGTAATCTCGGACCAATGAGCATCAATAATTAAGATGAGAAAAAAAAAATGCCTTGAAAAACACGGGCAAACTTCAAGTGAAAATTTGTGTTAGGTTATTCATATATAAATCCTTATCTCAGTCACTGCACATTATTCTCCAAAAATAATGTACCATATACAATAAAAATTGTACAACTTGGATAATAACATTTTTGTTTATTTCTATGCATCACTAATAAATATCTTCCCCCATGATAAATGAAGTGAAGAGAATATACACCGAATAAATGTTATACAAGATGTATAACTTTGCTTTACATCAACACCATTACTCTTCTCCAAATAATGTTTTGGCGTCATAAAAAAAATTACCCATAACCATAAGAATTAAGTTTACAATATTCAAGCACTCTTCTCAACCAACAGTGAAGTTGAATACGTAATAAAGATACCTTTTGTTCAATTTTAAGAAATATATCCATCCTTTCTTAAGCAGCATAATCTATTATGCAAAAGAACAGTTATTGAGAACAAAGGCAGCAGAACAATGCTTCTCATCTGCCAGTAATAAATGCTAAAACAAACATGGAAACTAAATCCAAAGTAATATTACATGCCTAATCTCCTAAATAAGGAATGAGGACATTAGCATATCTACTGTGATGTGATATCAATGAGATATAACAACTTCCATCATGTTGTAAAAAATCTGAAGATCTTCTTTCCAATAGACACCTCACCCGGATGTTCCTCTTCTTCTTCCTCCTCATACTCCTCTTCATCATCATCATTTTCAACATCATGGATTGTACTTCCATCTCCATCTCGATATTCTGGTGTACCATTTTCCTCCACACGATTCAGAGAGTCAGTTGCAGCACCATTGTCATCAACAATATCTCTTGGTACTTCAAACTGTAAAAGAAAAAAGTGTAAAAATAGAATAGAACATATATACCAAAATTTCAATGAAATCAATCATCAAAACAAGGCTGTTACCCTAACAACTCTATCATCTGTTAACTCCACAGTCTTTACTATAGAAGTCTGCACCAGTGATGTGTTTCGTACACTGTCTTCAGCTACTACAGATGAAGTTTCAACAACTTCAGGGCCTTTTTCCTCCTCCAATTTACCACCAGCAGCTTCTTTCTCCACGCCCTTTGTTCTATTAGATAAATCCTGTGTTGATGAATCTTTGCCCGCACTGCTAAAGAAAAGGAGTGATATCAGAACAATCAAGAAAATTATGACCACTGTACCATGGTTCATGACGGTGTTTGATAAACATGCAATAACACCCTTAGCATCCTCCCACATAAATTCAAATGGCATTAAATACTAGCTCAATTGAGCAATTTACTTTCCTACTATTATACACACGTAAAACACTATTTACTATTGGAAAAGTATCCACACTACGCTGGACAACCAAGTAAAATCTGTGCTTTAAAACCCAAAATTGCTAAACAAATAAGCAAACAAAGATTGTTAGTTTGGACTAGGATATTTTTCATTTCAGTTAAACATTCTGAATAATCAACAACAAAGTCTAATCTCACTATGATAAGTCCGCTACATAGATCGTATCACACCATTGGACTGTTAAAAACCAAATTCTTATAGATATTATTCACCATGAGATCATAACAAATAAGACCCTACGACACCTTTGATCATTTAGTAAACAGAAATTTACTTTCAAAAAAATATACTACAGAACAGAAACTAACACCTTAATAATATTTTTATTTTTACTATCTGAAAATTAGTGCTTCTGTCCATATATTAAATAATCTAGCCACTTGAGTGATTTACACCAAAATAGTTCGTTTCCCAACCACAATTTGACAGTGACAAAATAATAAATATCATTCTTCCTATTACAGAAATCTACAAATCACCTTGACTAATCAATAAAATGTTGGAAAGATCAATTGACATAATAGTTAACGTTCAGATCCAATATTACAAAAATGAAGCAACCTTGTTAATCACAATGACAAAATGAAGCCATCCAGCGCAACAGATTCGCACACCACACTTTTCTTTATTCCTTTTTGGGTAGGGGGCAAGGGGAAGAGAAAAAATGAAGGATGAATTCTTCAGGGTGGATATCAAACGTGACTTTATTTCAAGCAACATTCCTTTAGAATTAATATAAATCTATAAACATCAATACCCATGTATATTTAGTTCACACCTCACACCAAGGAGTGTTATCCCCAATAAATAAACACAATCAGCATAAGATATAATGTAAACTGCCATTGGTCCCAGATAAGGCCTGCAACTAAACTTACATCTTATGCCGCCTGAGATTGTATCGTTTCTCCCCAGTAACTTGTGCAGGTGGAGCAACCGTCTGCCTCTTCTTCCTACGTGCACCAGTTGTAATACTATCTGAGTGTCCTTCACTATCACCCGCATTCTGCTCACTTTCTGTAACCCTAGAAGTCTGTGCCCGTTGCCGCTTCCTTCTAGTGTTACCAATTGCTTTCTCAGTGTGACTGGAGTCTTCTCGACTGTCTTCTTTGATAGGATCAGTATTGAAAGACTGCAAACTTGCATTTTCTATTCTCTCTGGGGCTTTACCTAGGAACTCCTTGGCCTCTTCAACAACAGCCTTCACTGAGCGTGTTCTAGCAATTCCAGATTTGCTTTTCCGCCCAGGTCTGCGCCGACCTCCCTTTGGAACTGACTGCTGAGAATCACCTGGATCTCCATCTACCAAACTATCCACACGGCTATGATCGCCTATGGATAGAGAGTATTCATCACCAACCTCTTTAACAATGTTATCAGATTGGAGGTGTGGTGTATCTGAAGAGTGATGTGCTATCCCACCTGCTGGTTGCCGTTCTTCAGGAATAACTCTAGCTCCTATATTAGGAAGCGATGCTGGGTCATCTACATTTTCTACGCTAACATTCACATTTGACAGTGGCGATGTCCCAGCCATGTCTGAAGCACCAACAGCATCTGTTCTTTTACTTGGGGACAATTTGAAAATCTTGGATGTGCATTTTCGGAGCCAAGACACAGACCTTACAGATCCAGAATTGTTAAAGTCAGAAGCAGCTACATTGTCCTGGGAGTTATCAAGAGGCTTTTCATTCAGAACAGGAGAGATAGGCAAGGGAGTGGCCA